ACAAAAGTGGGAAAACAATTGCCTAAATAAGGCTATAATTGTCGTTTTTATTTGTTTATTTTTCCCTTCAATGAGAACTGTGTGGTTATTTTTTAGATATATTTGCCAGGAAGTTGGTTTTCCAAAACTCTATCTATCTATACCAGTCAGCTTTTTAAGCTGAGAGAAGTTATGAGGAAAAATCATTAGAAATATCCTCATTTTGGTTAGAAACCATGATTCTGATTTGCTGGGCAAAAATAGTTGGAATTTTGTCCATAAAAATTGTAAAAAAATAATAGGTTGTCAAAGAAGTCTTGCGGTATTTTTATTGAATTTTCAATTGTTCATAAAATTGGTAACAATAATGCGATTCAAGTCAAAACGAAAATGCGAAAATACCGCAAGACTTTTTTGCGACTAAGACTAATAATCCAAACACAGAATGTCATACATCGAAGTTTGATTGGGAATTTAGAGTCGATTGGTATCCCCACCTAAAAATATTCAATTTAGCTAGATTTGATGATGTTACCCCTTAGCAAGAATGCGAATTTTGGTTTTCCCCAATTTTTCCCTCGAAATGACAGTATTCTTCCCTTAACCAAGCCAATAATGGTCCGTATTGGGAATGTAATACGTCGTTGAGCTTGTTTTATAATTCCTTACATTTCTACATTCTTTGTTGAAAAAGTACAATTTTAGCAAGTTTTTGAAAAATTTTATAAGTAAGTAGCCCTTGTTAAAAATGCGAATTTTGGTTTTCCCCAATTTTCCCCTCAAAGTGACAATATTATTCCCATAGCAAACCCAATAATGGACCAAATATGGAATGCCCTATGTCGCTGAACTCGTAATTTAAATTCCAATCGAACTGCATTCACAGTTTAAAATGCCAAATTTGAGCAATTTTTCGAAAATTTAGATGATGCTACCCCTTATTGAAAATACGAATTTTGGAGCCTCCAAACTCGACAGTATTTTGTTCATAACTTGGCCAATAATGGTCCAAATATGGATTGTAATACCTCGTTGAGCTTGTTTTCTTGATCTTATCAAAACTGCATTCACAGTTTAAAATGTCAAATTTTTTCAATTTCTCGAAAGTTTTGATGATGGTACCCCTTATCAAGAATGCGAATTTTGGTTTTCCCCGATCTTCCTCTCAAAGTGACAATATTATTCCCATAACTAAGCCAATAATGGTCCGATTTTGAAATGTTGAGCTTGTTTTCTAATTTTTAACAAATCTGCATTCAATGTTAAATTTGTAAAAATTTTGTAATTTTTCTCAAAAAAAAAGACGATGTTACCCCTTAGCGAAAATGTTAAATTCGGATTTTCCCTATTTTCCCCTTGAAAATGACAGTACTCTGTCCATAACTTAGCTAAAAGTAGTCCAAAGATGGAAAGCCCTACATCAATGAACTCGTCATTAAAATTCCATCTTAACTGAATTCACAGTTAAAAAAGTAAATTTTTTTCCATTTTTTTTTTTTTTTTGCTAACTTTGATAATGTTACCCCTTATAAAAAATGTGATTTTTGGTTTATTAATTATTATTATTATTATTTATTAATCATGCTTTTTGATTCCCCAATTTACCCTTAAAAGTGGCAGAATTATTGCCATAACTAAGCCAAAGTCCAAGTTTTGAATGTAATACCTCGCCAAGCTCGTGATTTAAGTTCCTAAATAACTGCATTCAAGGTTAAAAATGTTAAAAATTATATAATATTTGATTTTTTTTGCCAAAATAGACGATGTTGTTGCCCCTTGTAAAAAATGCAAAAAATTTTGAAAAATTGTTTTACCAAATTTCGATCAAAAAGCGATAGAAATAAAATAGTAGGCCTTTTCATATATCCAAAAACAGTCAGTTATTTAGCTGATCTGAGATCATTTCTAGAGAAGGTTTAACAAAAAAGAAAGGGAAAACATCATAAATTTGTGCCAGAAGTTCTGATCTTGATTTTAGGGCCAAAAATGTTTACTTTTTTGCCACACAAAATTACCAAAGAACTTAACTGTTAGCCCTTTTATGATATTATATATTCATTTTGATATTTTTAAAAATGTATCTATCCAGATCCAGCATATGTAGTCCCGAAAAATGACCCACTATATCGCCTACGAATTAGGGCCAAGGCCTTGGCGTATTAAAACTATTTTATTTGTCATTTTGCTGGGCTGGCTGCTGCTTTGGCTGAAATGAAATTCAGCGAATATGTTGGCCAGAAACTGTTGCCACCATTCAACAGTTAGTGGTTGTCTTCGATACAGTCTGGGGGTTGGGTTTTTGGGTACTTCCAGAGGGTGAGAGGAGGTGAGAAGCTTGGCTTCGTGGGTGGGGGGTGGAGGTTTTCGGTTTTTTTGTTTTTTGTTTTTTGGCGAGGGTTTTGGGACAAGGCCGCGGCGGCGGTTTCTGTTTGCGTTTGCGTTTTGTCAGCCATGACAGCGTCGGCAATTGCGCCACCTGCGGCTCCATATTGGCACTTGTGTGTGTGTGTGTATGCGTGTGTTGGGGTAGGGGAGTGCCCACACCCAAGTGTATATGGTGTGTAAGTGTAAGTGTGTGTGTGTTTGGCCTTGTTTGTTTATGAGCCCTAATCAAATTGGCCATAATTAGATGCAACAAAGTTGAATCTTTTGAAGCGTTTTCGACGTTTTCTTGGCCTCTTGAAAAACAGAGAGCACCTGCCTGTCTTCCCCCCTCCCCCCCTCCTCCTTTCCCTTTTCCGAAAAACCAAAACCAACAGCACCCTCAGCACTCCCAAGTTCTTCCCCCATTTTTCCCCACTTCCTGTCGTGCCGGAATCGTCAGCATACCAGAAACGCACGAACGGATACGCCACGTTAGCTGTTCGCAATGCGTTCGGAATTTGGAAAAATCCATTTCGGTATATATTACTGTAAGTGTATAGGTAGCTCTGTATGTGTATGTGTGTGTGTATGTATGTGTGTGAGTCGCAGATCCTTTTTTTTAAAAAGGAAACGAGGCTTTGGTGTGAAACTAGCAAAAGTACAAGTGGAAATTAAGAATTTAACACGCCAGCCAGCCAGCCAGCCAGTTAGCCAGCTTTTGGGGTGGCAATAAAAAATGGAAATTAAGAATTTATAAGCACAGCGTTTGGCTATCAAATTCGTTCAATTAAAGTTTGGAAAACTAAAAGAAAATATAATAAATAATAAGGATTTTATATGCTCCTTTAAGGATTCAATCAACTTAAAAGCTTTCCACAGCTTTAACTTTCCTCTTTCACATTTTTCATCTATCCGAAATCTATTTTAACCCTGCTAATTGAAAATTTGACTCATTTTGAAATGGAAAACTCATTGATTGTGTTAATCATTCTTGTTGATTAAAACTTTCGCTTTGAGCTTGAGTTGAGTAAACAGTTCCAGGAAGTTGGCCACAAAATGAATGTGGGCCTCTAATGTGGCCCACGGAAATGGCTAAATTCAGCGGAATCTTTTCGATTTGATAGTTTCTACCAACACCAACCACCCACCCTTGACCATTTCGCAATCCTTTTAAGCCGTCGAGTGTCGAGTGGTGGTTGGTGGAAAACTTCCAACCCAATCCCTGGCCATGTGGCAGCCCTTTGTCTTGGTGCGGTGCATTGTGCAAGTTGCACACGAGTTGCTGGCGGACAAACAAAAGAGACAGATAAACTGATTGACAGATGAACAGAGGGAGAGCGAGATGGCGGCATTGCACTTAATGGGCCAGGCGGTGGGTGGTTAGATGATTCTTGGTTAGTTCCTCTACACCATATGTGGGTGGTGATGGTGCAAGTGGAAAAGACTGTTTGACATTTGCTGTCATTGTCAACGTCGGCGACAGTTGCTGCCGCTGCTGCTGCTACTGCTGACCAGCCTGCCGTGGTGCTTTGTGCAATTGCCCGGTGTTTACCCAGCGACCACCCACTCAAACTAACCACCTAGCCAGCCAACGACCACCCAGTCAGTGGGTTGCAAGGTTGACCGCCAGTGGGCAACGCCTTTGTCTCTGCGGTCGAGCACGTCTGCTTATTGGGATTGTCGAGTGGCCACCGCCAGTCCAACCCAACCCCCCAACCCCAAAATCACCTTGTTCCAAGCCACCACCTATCCACCCACTCTTACCCGCCCAACTTTCATCACACAAACACTCACAAAGCACACACTCATACACTCACACATTGTCAAACTGCAAACTGCAATCGATTGTCACAACAGAAAACAGAACGTAGAGTGCCGAGCAAGTAGTAAAAATATTTCATAAAATATTTACATTGTTGTGTGAGAGTGTGTGTGTGAGTGTGTGTGTGTGACTGCTGCTGCTGCTGCAGTTTTCCTATTTATCCATTTGTTTATTTGCTGCTCCTTGTATTTTCCTCTCTTGATTTTTCCTTGACCATTCGCCTGATTGATTTTGTATTAATTAAACTCGTCCAAAGTACCAAATCCTTGAAGATAAATCAAGGATTAAAAGGAGAACAATCAAAGTTTTCTTTTTATTTGGAATTTTCTTTTGATTCAATCATTGAAAATTCATTTTCAACACACATGTAGAAATTTCGAAATTCCTTACTATTATGTCGTTTAACCTAACAACATTTATTGGGGCAATCAAGTTTGAAGGCTTTCTGTGGTCCGAAATAATTGATAAGGCATTTATTGGCTTTTCATTTAGATTCATTTCGTGAAGTTGCCGCCTTTAGGATTTGGCATTTGGCATTTAATTTTACGCTAAAAAGTAGGCAAGCTAAAAGGAATGTTTAAGAATTGGCCTGGAAAATCTGCGAAAAATTACTAATTTAACTAACATAAGACCTTTCTACTTCCAAATACTAATTAATTTACCCTTTAGCCATTATAAATTCCCTTTAATTTTCCCAAAATTAACACCTTACATCTGTCATCTGATTTCTGCAACGTCATAGGAAGCACTTTCCTTACGGCCCATTAGACCTCTGTTCTTTGGCTTAATACCAACTGGAGACTCATAGACCTACATTTATTGTTTTCCTTTACAGATTTTGCCAGTGCTCCCAACCCAACCAAAAAAACAAGAACAAAAGCGGAAGCGGAAACGAAAGTAACGCCCAAGGCAAGGGAAGAGGTGGAAACGAAAAGAGGAGGAGCAAGGAGAAAAGAGAAAAGAGCAGGACAACAAACGGCTGAATAATGCAAATTAAAACACAATAAAATGTAAAACACAAATGACAACAGCGGGAAAAGGCAAACGGCGAAAGGCGAAAGGCGAACGGCGAATGGTGAACGGTGAACGGCGTACGGAAAATAGGAAAAGCGAAAGCGAAAACGAATCGGTTGACATGCCAAAAAAATAAAATGCGAGTGGCGGCAACTTTTCCATTGAATTGATTTGATTTTCCAGGCGAAGAGTATAGGGGGCATACGCCGGCATACGGAGCGTATGCGCGATACGTATACGCGATATTTTGCTCAACGCCAGGGGAGCGCGGCGGGAAATTTGCATAACTTTGCTGGCGTGGCATAAACATCAAAAAAGCAAATTGCAAGTAACAAAACGGAAACAACGGTCATAAAAACGGCGCCAGCCTCGTAAAAAAAAAATAAGAAAGAAAGTAAGAAAGAAGAAGAAGAATTCTCCTCCCCCCACCCAAATCTCCACTCCTTCAAAGTGAAAATTAATTTATGCAGCAAATCAAATACGAATAGGGAAGAAATATAAAAGTAATCGCAGGCCGTAACAATTAAGACAGCAAGGGGGGAAAAGTCCTGGAAAAGCCCCCGGGGAAAACCAACTGCAGCAGCGGCAGCCAAAAAGAAAAACACACACAGAAAAAAGACAAAAAGGAGAGTAGAAAACAGAGTTGGAAAACCGGTTAGCAAGGGTTGCTTATAAATGTACCAGGACAGCGGCTGCAGCAGCAGTAGCAGTCGACGCGGCAGCAGCAGTGCAGCAGCAACAACATCTACAGCAGCAACTGCAGCAGCAACAACAACAACAACAACAACTAGCAGCAGCGACGAGGAAACCCTCGAAACTCTGACGATAATAACAACAACAATAACCGAAAGCGATATCCATGCGACGACCACAACCACGACGGTTATAGCCAGCGGTACGGCGACAACAGCGGCAACAGCAACACTTGCCACACTTGCAACACTTGCCACCGCCAACACCACCACCACCACCACCGCCATCAATAGCGACATCGAGGACAGCAGTCCCGTGGAGAGCGAGGATAGCGAGGAGTGCGAGTATATCGAGATCGATTGCCAGACGACCGCCCAGGAAGGCACATCGCCAAGTGGCGGCAGCACCAGCAGCAGCGGCGGCGTCGGCAATGCAGCCTTGCTGCAGCGCAGCAGCAATCAACATCAGCAGCAGCAGCAGCAGCAGCAACAGTTGCAACTGCAGCTGCAGCAGGCGGACGTCCGATTGTTGCGTAAAATCGGCTATATTGCATCGCGTGTACGCTGCCTGTCAAAGTTCTACGGAGATTTCCGACTGGTGAATCCGTACAGTGCCCGCCGACAGAGACGCCAACTGCAGGAGATCCTGCTGCGTCACTCGATCTTCGATCCTGGCAAGGAACACCAGCGGGCTATTGTTTTGGCCGCGGCAACAGCGGCAATTGCCGGTCCTCTGGCGGCCATCGATTGTGCCTGCGGCAGCAGCAGCATAAGCTTAGAGGCGGTCAGCAGTAGGAGTCGCAGCAGTGAGCTGGAGGAGGATCATCAGGAGCACGAACCGGATCAGGAAGAGCTCGAGCAGGAGGAGGAGGAGGAGCAGGAGCAGGAAGAGATATTGACGAATCAGCAGGATATTGAAGAGGAGCCACCACCGCCGGCGATTGCTGTAACCACCACCACCACGGCCACTGTACGCCGGAAATCCTCGAGCAGTTCCACCATTAGCGGCACGGCCACCGTTTCCGGTTCCGTTTCGGTCTCGGCCTCTGCCTCGCAATCCTTTTGCTCCAACAATATCAATCTGCTCGAGGAGCTGCTCATCCAGTTTTACGAGGAACAGGATCATCGCAGCAATTTGACCGTAATCAGGCATCGTCATCATCATCAGGAACAGGAGCAGCAGCAGAGGATCACCAATAACAACAATAACAATAACAATTGCAATAGCATACAGAACAACAACAACAACATGTCGAATCCTGCAGCAACTGCAACAGCAACAGCAGCAGCAGCAGCAACAGTAGCTGCAACAACAACCACAACGCCATCCGTTGGCATTGAACAGCCGGCGACATCGAGCGATAACATAACCACCACAACAACCAGCACCCACTTGCAACCCACCACAATGCTGCCCGATGGCAGCGATAATCCGCGACGTCGTCGTGCCAGCGATTGCTCAGCGGTCCAGGCCGCCATCCAGAATCAGCTGCACTGCATCACGCTGAAGAACAACAATTGTGGGAAAGCTTTGCCCTTTCATCGCGGCAGTTGCGGTGCCGCCGGTGAGCATTTATTGGCAGCCAATTCGATTGCCAATCGTGCCACCATTATCCTAAGTAAATCCTGCAGCAATGTGGATGGTGATGTGGCAACGACAGCCCTAAGTTCAGCTGCCATTGGCGGTGGCATTAAAATGCGGGCCAGTGCCACAGATATTGAATCGAATGCATTGAATGGGGCACGGGATGCCATCGTTGCAGCATCGAATAATGGCAACGGGAATGGGAATAATGGGAACAACGGCAACAACGAGTACAGCATCCTGCAGCTGAACAACACGATCATCCAGTGCCACTTCAACGACGATGACTTTCGCGCTTTGGTCAAGGACCTTAAGCGTAAAGTGGAGTACACGGAGCGCATGAATTGGCTATGTGAGTAGATCGATTCTACATATATAAGACAATTTATTAATATTTAGGTATCTATTAAACGATCAATTAGTATAGATTACTTTTATCTTTGATTAGAAACATGAAAGAAGCTTTCTGTCTTTCCTATAAACCAAAAACAAAAATGTTCACAATGAGGAGAGATTGTAGCTAGCAATAAATATTGCATACTTTTGGGCTGCACCTTAAACTACCGATTCCCACCGATGCCGCTTTATAAACTTCTTTTCCTTTTTAAATCCCATTGCTAAACTAAAACTTAAGCCAGTTCCCTGTTTAGCAAACTAATTTCAGAATATTCCCAGAAATAATTGATGTTACGATCCGAGCAAGTACTTTGGCCTCTGACCAGAACACCCACCCCAAAGCACCCACTTCCATTTCCGGTCTGCATTGTACTTTCTCCCCGCCTCCCTATCCCCTATTTTCTTTACTTTTTTTTTGTTCGCTGTGTGTGTAATCGCCTCAAATGAGGCATGAGCAAATGCAACAATGGGATGGAATCAAATGGACAAATTTAAATGCAACTACAATGGACGGGAATGAACGAAATGGAAAATGGAAAAATCATTTCAAAACGCTGCGCACACACAAATGCAAAGGGGGCTTAGGCCATTGGCTTTTCCAACCGGAAAACTATGTGTGTGGGTGTGTGGTGCGGGCAAAAAGCAGCCGTCTGTGACGGCCATGTGAAATATTTAATTCAGGAAGCAGGAAACAACATTCAACATTCAACATTCAAGCATTTCCACATTCATTCCACATTTTCCAGCATAAATGCATAAAGCTAGCCAATGAATATCTTATGATTGCAGCTGGATTAGCAGTTGATTGGGTTTCCTCAACATGCAATATATAATATAGAAACTATATAGATTATTATAAATAAGACAAGGACGTGCTCTAAATATTATTGGCAAGACCCTACTGATACTGACTGATACCCTACTCTGATCTCTACTCCCCCCCTCTTGTCGAGCTCATCAAAAGTTTCAATTTTCGTGTGACTTTCTTTACGTTCTTTGCTTGCCATGATGGCCTCTTGATTGCTTCAACGCCTGTGGCCTTTAACGGCAATCCACACTTTATGTGCCTGCCTCAGCCTGCGTCCTGCTGAGGACAATAAAAAACTATAAGACAACAAAAGCTGCCACTGCAGCTTGCACTTAGATAAAAGACAGACAAAGAAGCTTTAGAAATTTCATAAATATAACTTTTCATGCTGCATTCTCATGCGTTAATATAAGTTAATAAAGTTAGATCTTTACGTTATTTACCATTTACAGTAACCCTTTCTTTCAGTGCACAAAAACTATCACAACTTTGTTGAATGGCATTAAGAAAGTTGTCTTTGTATCGACGCCACGTTTTCCTTAGCCTTTCCTTCTATTCTATTTTTGTTTTTTTTTAGCCGCCGCTGCCTCCTTGCACTTTATTTTTGAATTTTCGCCGCTTTTCTTCTTCTCCTTCTCTGGCTTGCCATTCGTCCTTGCAGTTCACTTACCATACTTATAAGCAGGTTTCACCCGCCCACCGATTGTGTATCTGTGTGTGTGTGTGTGTGTGTGGAATAGAGTGTGGTGTGGCTGCCTCTTCTGGCATTTTTCCACACTGTCGCATTTTAAACATTTCAATTAAATTGCTGACGGCCTGCCGCAATGTTTGGCCCACTTTTGGTCGCCTGTTGATTGCCTTCCGTTTCCGTTCAATTGGCTGCTACGATTTTTCCACCCCATTTTCCAGGAAATATTTAACTGTGGATTCTCCTTTAATCTTTTCAAGTAGCTAAGAAAGGTTATCTGTTTCCGAAGTGATGTCAATCTTTGATCTATTTTAACTCATTTCTAGGAATTTCATGGCCAGCACTTTTTAGCTGAGAAAAATAAATCTTCAAAACTCATTTAACATTTGTCACTTTGCTTTACCTTCCCCTTCTTAAACATAAATACCCTTCAACACACTTGTTTTCCCATTTAATTTCTTCTTTGCCCTTTTGCAACACTATTTATGGCCCCGTCGTGCGTGCCCAACACTGGGCCAGCCAACACCAGGAGACAAATGGGCGCAGACTTTGATTTCTGGATGCCAACATTGGCTGCTGCCCTGCCCTGCCCTGCCCGGCTACTACCTTTGCCTTCCTTTGCTGTTGGCCTTTTCCTTCGGCCATTCATTCATTTGGCCTCCTATATTTGCGGATCGTAAATCAAAAGCAGCCGAGACACTGAGTAGAGGGTGCGCGCCAAAAGGCCAAGAATCATAAATTGCGAGGAGCATTTGAGAAGGGAGAAGGGGGGGAGAGCAGGGGAGAGTCACAAAACGCAAAATGGTCATAAATTCAAAAACCTAAATGGCTTTGGCAATACTGAATCAAAAGCCAACAAAGGGGAACCAGGAAAAAGGAACAAAATGTCCAAACGGGAATGGAAGAGAGAGAGGGGCGCGGGCAGGCGGTGAATGAAAAGCGCCTCAACATAATACAAATGACATATAACAGGAGTCCGGGAAATATGTCGGAAATCTACTCGAGACAGTCGCCTCGTAAGGCAAGCCAAAAAGCGGCCAAGAGCCATATCAGACTCGAAGGGCACTTAAGACTTTTTGGATAAGGGAAAGTAGTAAAGGGCACCGGTTGCGGGGAAAGTCGAAAGTCGACGGAAAGACGGAAAGACGTAAAGTCGGGGCCAAAAATCATGAGAAAATGCCAGAGACCGCAAAGCGAGATGTGACAAAAGGCAAATGGCAATGGGATTGTTGCTTGTTTGGTGGGCGGAGGAGGCGGAAGGTGGGAGGCGGGAGGGGTTGCCAAGAGCAAAAATCTAATAATAATAAAATACTTTATTGTTCAGTTAACAATTCAATTGTTTCACTTAACAAGAGCCGGGTAGTAGCCACAGTCGAAGGCAAGAAGCCACGAAGCCACAAAGCCAAAGAAGAAAGCAGGACAGCCGACAGATAGATTCGTACCATAAGAGGGGGGAAGGTCTGGACACGTATATGCACTGAGAAAAAGGCCATGGAGTTCTACACTTTGATTAACTTTAACAAGAAGTTGAAACAGTGATAACAATCAAAAGAAGATAAGACAAGTTAATAAATAATGCAAAATGTTAGCCATAGTTACTCCTCATTTTCCTTCAGTGCATCTATATATCGCTGTCTAGATAAACTGGTGTACAAAGAATAAATTGCCACAAACGAACATTAAGTGATAAAGTGTTTGGCAAATCAAAACGATTGACTAGCCAAGGACACGTCTCCCCCCAACGCCCGAAGGCGATGTCCTTCCTGCAGCTGGGCAAGGAAAGTCAGAAGTTCGAAATCAAATCAAAATTCGGCCAGATGATGGAATGATGTCGTCTCCTTTCAGTTGATGAACTAACTGCATCATCATCATCATCATCATGCGCCTGCCTGCACTTGACATTTCGCAAAGGCAGTTTTTTGAATGCCGAAGGTTTTCCATTTCCCTCCATCTCCTTCTCTCTCTCTTCTCAACTTCCAGCGAGTGGATAATATTTGCCCAACAAAAGGTGGAATTTAATTCATTTCTCTTTCAACTCCCCTGCTGCACGTGTCACTGCATTTTCTATATATAAATATATATATTCTACTATTCAGATATATATATTCCGCATGCTAATGAAGCGAGGTCGTCGCCTAATTGAAATTTCTGCGCCAGACTAGAGCAAATTTTGCGGTGCCCGAAACTTTTTCTTGTCCCATTAATTATAATAACTTCTTGCTTGTCGTGGTAAGGGTTGGCAAGAAGGGGAGGGGTTGGGTTCTTCTCTCAAAGACAGGTGGCGCCACTTGAACGGGTGCAGGGGGGTTATTGCCAAATTAAAGTGCACGCAAGGAGACAACTTCTGAGCACGACAAACTGACAAAGTCGCGAAAGTTTTATGGAAATCATTTGCAAGCTTAGTGAAGAGGCAAAATCTCTAAGAACTGCCTTAAATTTCTCTTTTTTAATATTTTAAAAAATAATTCCAGTTGAAAATCAAAAACTTAATCCATTTACTTAATCAAAAATCTTCCTCAAAACAAAATTCTGCAAAAAAATAAATCACACAAAATTGAATCTGTTAACAAGCAATTGTGTTGGAATTTCGTCTAACTTGTCTATTAAGCGTATTAGCCATCCTCCATCATTTCCATCTTCTGCTCATCCCAACTTACACACACACAGATAGAGAGAGAGACACACAGACACACAGAGAGACAGTTACAGCATGGAAACTGCGAAGGCGTATATTGGCAATATATTGACAGATTGACAGATTGACAGATTGACAGACTGGCGGACCAATAGGTACATGCTGGTAAATCAGGCAGCCGATGACAGACAATATTATAATAGAGCAATGCTAAAACATAGGCTCCGCTCCCTCTGGCACATTCGATTGATTCGACTTTTTAAATGCCATCAATCATGTTTGAATTCGATTCGAGGATTGCCCTGATTAGATTCAATAAGGCTAATCCGTTTGCGATTGAAAGGTAATTGAATGTTAAGCGGGAAATATCTATTACCAAGTCAATCGGAATCATCGATTTATCACTGAGTTAGAATATCCTTTTTAAGGTTGGAATTTTTGTTCAAAATACAAATCCAAATTTAATATACTTTTCCAAAAAAGTTAAATCACCTTCCTATGTGTGTGTTAAAACATACATGCATATATCCTTGTGTGTGTGTGTGTGTTTGTTTCGTATCCGTGTTTAAGCAATCATTTTAATGAGCAATAAAGTGTTGCATACTTAAGAGGGCAAACGTGGGAATTTCGGCGGCTGCGACAAAATAAAACCAACAACAGCCACCGCAAGAAAGGCGAGAAAAATATGGAAAAAACTAGAGCACGCACACACACACACCCCCTCTTATACATATATTGTATGTACGTGCCATAATAATATACTTATACATAAAGGTGTTTGTGCGCGATGCTTAAAGCTCTAAACTTGCCAAACAAAAATCAACT